ATACAAGAAGTGAAGGGAGAGATATTCAAGGAAATAGGTAGCTGAAAGAAAAAACAAATAAAAATTCAGGAAACTTTGTACACACTTTTAGAGACCTGAAACACTCTGGAAAGTCTCAGCAATAGAATTGAACAGGTAGAAGAAAGAAATTCAGAACTCAAAGACAAGATCCTCAAATTAACCCAGTCCAACAAAGACAATGAAAAAGAAAAAGAAAATACGAGCAAAGCCTCCAAGAAATCTGGGATTATGCTAAATGACCAAACCTAACAATAATTGGTGTTCCTGAGGAAGAAGAGAATCATAAAAGCTTGGAAAACATATTTAGAGGAATAATTGAGGAAAACTCCCCCAGCCTTGCTAGAGTCCTAGACATTCAAACACAAGAAGTACAAAGAACACCTGGGAAATTTATCACAAAAAAATCATCGCCTAGGCACATTGTTATCAGGTTATCCAAAGTTAAGACAAAAGAAGGAATCTTCAGAGCTGTGAGACAGAAGCACCAGGTAACTTATAAAGGAAAACCTATCAAATTAACAGCAGATTTCTCAGCAGAAACCCTACAAGCTAGAAGGGATTGGGGCCCTATCTTCAGCCTCCTCAAACAAAACAATTATCAGCCAGCAGTTTTGTATCAAGCGAAACTAAGCATCGTATATGAAGGAAAGACATAGTCTTTTTCAAATGACAAATGCTCAGAGAATTTGCCATTACCAAGTCACCACTACAAGAACTGCTAAAAGGAGCTCTAAATCTTGAAACAAATCCTGGAAACACATCAAAACAGAACCTCTTTAATGCATAAATCACACAGGACCTATAAAACAAAAATACAAGTTAAAAAGTCAAAACAAACAAACAAAAAAACCAAAAGCACACAGGCAACAAAGAGCATGACGAATGCAATGGTACCTCACTTTCAATACTAACATTGAATGTAAATGGCCTAAAGGCTCCACTTAAAAGATACAGAACTGCAGAATGGATAACAGCTCACCAACCAACTATCTACTGCCATCAGTAGACTCACCTAACGCATAAGGACTCACATAAACTTAAAGTAAAGGGGTGGAAAAAGGCATTTCATGCAAATGGACACAAAAAGTGAGCAGGGATAGCTATTCTTATATCAGACAAAACAAACCGTAAAGCAACAGCAGTTAAAAGAGACAAAGAGGGACATTATATAATGGTAAAAGGCCTTGTGCAACAGGAAAATATCACAATCCTAAACATATATGTACCTAACATTGGAGCTCCCAAATTTATAAAACAATCACTAATAGACCTAAGAAATGAGACACACAGCAACGCAATAATAGTGGGGGACAATAATATTCCACTGACAGCACTAGACAGGTAATCAAGATAGAAAATCAACAAAGAAACAATGGATTTAAACTATTCCTTGGAACAAATGGACTTAACAGATATATACGAACAGTCCACCCAACAACGGCAAAATACACATTCTATTCAACAGAGCATAGAACTTTCTCCAAGATAGACCGTATGATAGGCCATGAAATGAGCCTCAATAAACTTAAGAAAATTGAAATTATATCAAGCACTCTCTTAGACTACAGTGGAATAAAACTGGAAATCAACTCCAAAAGGAATCTTCAAAACTATGCAAATACATGGAAATTAAATAACCTGCTCCTGAATGAGCATTGGATCAAAAACGAAATCAAGATGGAAATTTAAAAATTCTTCAAACTGAATGACAATGACACAACCTACCAAAACCTCGGATACAGCAAAGGTGGTGCTAAGAGGAAAGTTCATAGCCCTAAATGCCTACATCAAAAAGATCGAAAGAGCACAAACTGACATTCTAAGGTCACACCTCAAGGAACTAGAAAACAAGAACAAACCAAACTCAAACCCAGTAGAAGAAAGGAAAAAAACAACATCAGAGCAGAACTAAATGAAATTGAAACAACAACAACAACAAAAATACGAAAGACAATTGAATCAAAAAGCTGGTTCTTTGAAAATAAAATTGATAGGCCATTCTCAAGATCAACCAAGAAAAGAAGAGAGAAAATCCAAATAACCTCACTAAGAAACAAAACAGGAGATATTACAACTGACCTCAGTGAAACACAAAAGATCATTCAAGGCTACTGTGAACACCTTTACACACATAAACCTGAAAACCTAGAAGAGATGGATATATTCCTGGAAAAATACAACCTTCCTAACTTAAATCAAGAAGAATTAGATACCCTGAACTGACCAATAACAAGCAGCAAGATTGAAATGGTAATTTAAAAATTACCAACATAAAAAGTCCAGGACCAGATGGATTCACAGTAAAATTCTACCAGACATTCAAAGAAGAATTGATACCAATCCTTTTGATACTACTTTACAGTACAGAGAAAGAAGGAACCCTCTCTAATTCATTCTATGAAGCCAGCATTACCCTAATATCAAAACCAGCAAAGGACAACCAAAAAAGAAAATTACAGACTGATATCCTTGATAAACATAGATGCTAAAAATCCTTAACAAAACACTAGCTAACCAAATCCAACAACATGTCAAAAAGATAATCCACCATGATCAAGTGGTTTTTATACCAGGGATGCTTTAACATACACAAGTCAATAAATGTGATACACCACATAAACAGAATTAAAGACAAAAATCATGTGATCATCTCAACAGATGCAGAAAAAGCATTTGACAAAATCCAGGATGCCTTTATGATTAAAACTCTCAGCAAAAATTGGCATACAAGGGACATACCTCAATGTAATAAAAGCCATCTATGACAAACCCACAGCCAACATAATACTCAATGGGGAAAAGTTGAAAGCATTCCCCCTGAAAACTGAAACAAGACAAATATGCCCACTCTCACCACTCCTCTTCAACATAATACTGGAGGTCCTAGCCAGAGCAATCAGACTAGAGAAAAAAATAAAAGGCATTGAAGTCAGTAAAGAGGAAGTCAAACTGTCCATTTGCCGATGATATGATCATCTACCTTGAAAACCCTAAAGACTCCTCCAGAAAGCTCCTAGAACTAATAAAAGAATTCAGCAAAGTTTCTGGATACAAGATTAATGTACACAAATCAGTAGTTCTTCTATACACCAAAAGCAGCCAAGCAGAGGATCAAATCAAGAACTCAACCCCTTTTACAATAGCTGCAAAAAAAAGAAATACTTAGGAATATGCCTAACCAAGGAGTCAAAAGACCTCTACAAGGAAAACTACAAAACACTGCTGAAAAAAATCATAAATGACACAATGACGCAAACAAATGGAAACACATCCCATGCTCATGGATGGGTAGAATCAATATTGTGAAAATGATCATACTGCCCAAAGTAATCGACAAATTAAATGCAATCCCCATCAAGATACCACAAACATTCTTCAGAGAATTAGAAAAAACAATTCTAAAATTCATATGGAACCATAAAGAGCCTACATTGCCAAAGCAAGACTAAGCAAAATGAACAAATCTAGAAGCATCACACTACCTGATTTCAAACTATACCATAAGATCATAGTAACCAAAACAGCATGATACTGGTATAAAAATAGGCACATAGACCAATGGAACAGAATAGAGAACCCAGAAATAAACCCAAATACCTACAGTCAACTGATCTTTGACAAAGCAAACAATAACATAAATTGGGGAAAGGACACCCTATTCAACAAATGGTGCTGGGATAATTGGCTAGCCACACATAGGGGAATGAAACTGGATCCTCATCTTTCACCTTATACAAAAATCAACTCAAGATGAATTCAGGTCTTAAACCTAAGACCTGAAACTAAACATTCTACAAGATAACATTGGAAGAACCCTTCTAGACATTGGCTTAGGCAAGGATTTCATGACCAAAAACCCAAAAGCAAATGCAATAAAAGCAAAGATAAATAGCTGGGACTTAATTAAGCCAAACAGCTTTTGCACGGTAAATGGACAGTCAGCAGAGTAAACAGACAACCCACAGAATGGGAGAAAATTTTCACAATCTATACATCTGACAAAAGACTAATATCCAGAATCTACAACGAACTCAAATCAGTAGGAAAAAAACAATCCCATCAAGAAGTGGGCTACTGATATAAATAGACAATTCTCAAAAGAAGATATACAAATGGGCAATAAACATATGAAAAGATGCTCAGCATCACTAATGATCAGGGAAATGCAAATCAAAACCACAATGTGATACCACCTTACTCCTGCAAGAATGGCCATAATGAAAAAAACAAAAACCAGCAGATGTTGGGGAGGATGCGGTGATCAGGGAACACTTCTACGCTGCTGGTGGTAATGTAAACTAGTACAGACACTATGGAAAACAGTGTGGAGATTCCTTTAAGAACTAAAAGTAGAACTATCATTTGATCCAGCAATCCTATTATTGGGTATCTACCCAGTGGAAAGGAAGTCATTATTTGAAAAAGATACTTGCCCACGCTGTTTATAGCAGCACAATTCACAATTGCAAAATCGTGGAACCAACCCAAATAACCGTCAATCAATGAGTGGATAAAGAAACTGTGATATATATATTTTTGGTGAACAATATGTTACACCTGTAGTATTAATTAACAAATTTATGCCCCTGATTTAATACAGCTGCATATTTTTTCCACCAACAATTGCCATTTGCCCCAAAAAAATTCACTGAAAGGACTTTTTCAATCAAACACATTTTTTTAGGAAGGATTAAAGCACATAAAACATAGCCATTCATGAATAAAGTAAAACATAGTGGGTTTGTGGTAGACATAGACATATGATGTGGTGAGGTCCTCTTCAAATGTGAGGGACTGACAAAGTAGACTCAAAACAAATATTGGTTGAATGAGCACATACAATGCACGAGTGCAATTGGTGTAAAATTTCTTTAGAGACATTTTTAAGATAGGCAAAGGATTTTAGTTTTATTGCACCTAGGTGGTTTGAGCAGCAGTCTAAAGCATAGTGACAATGCCGATGCCTGTTTTCTGTCTAGGATCTGCGAGACCGCCTGTGGGACATTTGTGACGCACGGAAGGAAGAGGCAGAGCAGGAGCGGCTTGACATCATTAATGAGAACTGGTTACAGGACTCTCTTGGAATGACAATGAACCATTTCTTTTCCCTGGTGCAGGTAAGAGCAGTGGTCACAATGACCCAGGCACTTCCCTTCACAACCTCATCCCTCAGTCCCTCATATGACACTTTCTTGGGAATATGAGAGATCTGTTCAGGGCTCATTTTGGTATAGCACTATGCCTGGTATGAGCTCCAACTCACCAAGAAAGCTAGCTGAAATAATACATTTTGGTCCAGCCCAATATGCACCCAAATTGAAAGCATCTCAAGCAACTACCCACCAGCGTTGCTCCAGGTGGCCTAGATATGTAGAAAGCCACAGTAGAAATAGTGTCTACAACTGAGTTACCTCACCAGACTCTCAAAGCAGACCCCTTAAGTGGACAAAGAAAGCCCAGGAAAGCAGCCTGACCACAATAAACATAGGCAAGATCAGGCCAGGCAGACATTTGATTCCTGAAAATAAAAAGTTTTCCAATACTGGACTAGAAAAACAGACCATAATCAATGCAACCTGATTAACTTATATTTGCAGCCTATTAAGTTACAAAAAAAAAATTGCACAGGACAAGATTAGAAGACAGGTGCTGATTTTATTCTGACACCATTGCCAGCAATCGGGGAGAAAGCACAAACCCAACTCTGCCAAGACAAAGGGCTAGAGAGTTTTTAAGAGCCGGAGTAGGTTAGAAGGTATGGGTCATAGGCCAACTGTGTTTGCCAATTGACGTTATCAGAAGGAAAAGTCAACTTTCTACAATCTTCATCACAGGAGGTAGTTTTAGGACTTGAAGCAATGCACCCAGTGAAGTTAGGCTCCTACTCTCACACAGGAACTGGGAGACAGAGGCACTGTATTCCTTGATGATTAACTACATTACAAAGAGATGGTTTTTAGGTCCTTGAGAAAGACATTCTTTTCTGGGTTGTACAAATGGTAGGAGGCTTTTGAAAAGATTTACATCTCAAAGGAACAGTGAAAGGATTTACAACGTCAAGTTTTCTTAAAGCAAATGCTCTAACAAAAGGGAGGTAGAGTCTAGAGTCAGGAAGCAGCCTGTCTAAAGTTGGGTCAAGCTGAAGAGAATATGAAGGCTGTCTTCGTTCAAGTTGTGTGTACATGAGTATTTTTTTCCTAAAACAACAGGAGTGAAGATAGAGAATGGAAAAGGGTACATTTCTGGTCTTTAGTTGATTTACTTAGATAAAGAGATACTACAGGAAATGAGAGTACTTATCTGGCAATCCCTACAGCTAGTGCATAATAGGTGTTCAGTAAATGTCTTTTCATCAAAGGACCAATACATGCTGATACTTCCAGTCTTCAAAGGGACAATTCATGGCTCAGGCATAGGCCAGACCACAGAAGGTCTGAAATATCAGCAGAAATCTGAGAGGCAGGAGCAGCCCCTCAGGTAGGAGGTTTCAAGAAATCAGGATACCAGGACAGTGAAGACCCCATGCAGCCATGTTAGGAATCTGGATTGGAAAGAGAAGATGGAGTTAGAAAGATGTCATCCAAAGCAGAGGACAAAGCTGGGCCACAACCAGGAGGACAGATCCACATGGCATGAGTTGTATGCAAAGATTAAAGTGAGGTGCCTAAGCAGCCTAGACCAGTCTGTATAGCATCCCCATGACATTGGTTTGGGCAAGCAAAAATCAAGTATTATAAACAGTTGTATCAAAAGCTTATGGCAGAAATAGTTGAAAACCAATAATGAAGGCAGATACTTTTTATGAATCATTCTTGATTAATAGCAATACATACCACCTTTGGAAATGTTATATGACTCAATATTTCAATAATCCCTAGGTATAGGACTTTTATCTTGAGAAACTGAACTAATATCTAAGACCAACAAGGAATAAAGAGGAAAAAGCAGTAAATAAAAGCTAACATTTACTAAATTCTTACTATGTATATGCCAGGCACCATTCTAAAGATTTTCATGTAGAATACATTAAAACTTCCCAACAAGTTTTCACTCTTGCACCCAGGTTGGAGTGCAATGGTGCAATCTCACCTCACTGCAACCTCTGCCTCCTGGGTTCAAGCAATTCGCCTGCCTCAGCCTCCCAAGTAGCTGGGATTACAGGTGCCCACTACCACACCCGGCTAATTTTTGTATTTTTAGTAGAGACACGGTTTCACCGTGTTGGCCGGGCTGGTCTCGAACTTCTGACCTCAGGTGATCCATCCGCCTCGGCCTCCCACAGTGCTGGGATTACAGGAGTGAGCCACCACACCCAACCTACTGCAAGTTCCATTATCTTCATTTCACAAATGAAGAAATTGAGACAAACACAGGTGAAACAATTTGCCCATCTGACTTCAAAGCCAGTACAGTAGCTCCCCCTTCTCCTCAGGTTTATTTTCCATAGTTTGTTACCCACAGTCTGAAAATATTACATGGAAATTTCCAGAAATAAATAATTCATAAGTTTTAAATTGTGCTCCATTTTGAGTAGTGTGATGAAGTTTCACACTGTTTCATTCTGTCTTGCTCAGAATGTGAATCATCCCCCTGTCCATAGTATCCACCCTGTAGATGCTACCTGCCCATCTGTTAGTCACTTGGTAGCCAATTTAGTTATCAGATGAAAAATCATAGTGTATATAACGTTTGGAACTATCTGAGGTTTCACGCATCCATTGGGGGTCTTGAAACTTATCCCCCATGGATAAGGGCCTGTCTACTGTATTCCTAACCACTGCTTTATTGTTCAAATAGCTGAAAGTTTGCCACATAGAACTGAGGAGAGCCTTATTTTGCACTGATCAATAAGATCCTATAAAAACCAAGGGTGGAAATTACAAAAGAGAAGGTTTCAATTCAATATTTAAAGAAAGAGCCTAATGAACAGCCCATCAAGTAACAGACTTTGGAGGCAATGAGCTTTTTGTCCAGGATGCTCAAAAGCAGAAGTTTGCACATGGTTTTGGAGGAACAGTGGAAAGTACACTAGAGAAAGCCTTCAAGAATCTGTGGTATTGGATAACAGACAGCTAGACAAATGTATCCCAAAGCAGGTTCCATAGACATTACTCCTACAAGATGTTTCACAAAACAAGGACTCTGTGATCAAATGACTTTGGGAAGTGCTATCTACTCTAGCCTTCCTACCTTTCCCTGGGAGATTGACAAGTGTATCAGCGTGTTTAGATATTGAAATGCCCTACAGGAAGGAAATCCTTTTTCTATTTCTATTTTCTACACTATTTGACCTTGAGAAGTTTTTGTTTCTTCCCCAACAAGGTACTCATTAACTGCCTATAGGACAAGTTTTCCACAAAATGTATTTTAGAAAATGCTATGCTAGATGATTTCTAAAATTCCTTTTAAATCTAAGATTCTGTCACAATTAAAAATCTTAAGAGAAAATATTGTTTACTAGTTATCATAAATATAACAGGAATTTTGATTAATTCTGCCTTTATGAAAATCTTGGATATAGTATGGCATCTTATTCAGATTTAGTTAATTAAATTATGCCTTCTAAAAATAAATTAATATTTTGCATAAGATAATCACTACAGTAAGGTAAGCCTAAGGCACAGAGAACAGCACTGTCCCAAATACCAATTGTATAAAAGAAGCTCTACTAAACCTAATCTTTATTAAATAGTTTAGTTCTATAAGTTAAGAAGGAAATAATTTCCTGATTTCTAAATTTATTTACTAAATAATACAATGCTATGATTTAATGACATAATTTTTATAACCTCAACACACTTATTTTAATTCCCCAAAGTTGTCAATATTCAGTTTGTACAAATTGGGTTTCTATATGATCCAATTCACCATAAATGTGGCATTCTGCAAGTTCTCATAATTTACAAGACTCATTTTTCTCCTCTGTTTTACCAAACCTAAGCATGACAGGTGCAAACACTTATGGTCAAATTGTAGGATTTGTTCATACATTAATATTTTAAAACTTAATTTTGTGGTTTTGCAAGGAAAGAGAAAAAGGTTTAGTTTTTCTTGTCATTTCAAAATGCTAGTTTAAAAAACTACTTACATATATATTTATGTTTAAAATCCAAGGAGACTATTGAAAATGTTCTGTAATGTGAAACAATACATAAATGGTACTTTTATTTTTTAACTTAGACGCAAGTTCACCAAATTAATTTTTTCCTGTTTCAGTCATTTAGTTAGAAAAGTTGAATAGTACAGAAAACAGCTTTTTCCAGGAGCAATTTGGCTTAACCTTTTCTATTTCAATCACAGACTTACTGAAACTGTTCTTCTCTTTTGTTGTAGACTACAGTAAAAAACAAGACTTTTTTTATTCTGTACTGTGAATATGGCAATAAGAGAATATTTCTTGATATTTTACAAAATAAGTAGTGACATAATTGTTTGATAAATGTAGGGATCTCTTCATAAATATCTTTGAGTTTGGTTTAGATAAGGCTTTGAACATTAGGTCAATTTTGTTTTTCTTTTTAAAATGATGCTTTCTGTAATTAGCTAGATATCATGGAATTCATCTATGTAAAGAGCTTCAATATTTAGGCCCTCAGGTACTGATTTAAGTAGCCCAGGTGACTAAAGTAAAGTCTGGAGTTCATGTTTACACTAACAAAGAGAAGCACAGATATACACCATATTGTTCTAAACCCAATGGGAGACCAGGTTGAAAAATACCATATTCTACATTTGTATTGTTGGCACTGTGCAGAATCTCACTATGCACACACTTCAGCGTATGCATACCACAAAAGGAAATGACCTTTGCTGACAGGGAGTCACAACAAGGGAATGACCGATGCTCACCTTGCCACCAGCTCCATTTTTCTGGGTTGCTCCATTTTTCACAAGGTACTTACTGGCAAAGCAAGCAGAAGGGTTTAGCTGTGAGCACTGGAGGAACTGAATTATCTCTCTTCTCCGCATATTGAACAACAAAGGAAATTGTGGAAAGAGAACTATTCTTTAGACTCTATGTTGCCGGGCGCAGTGGCTCATGCCTGTAATCCCAGCACTTTGGGAGGCTGAGGTGGACAGATCACCTGAGGTCAGGAGTTCGAAACCAGCCTGGCCAACATTGCAAAACCCTGTCTTGACTAAATATACAAAAATTAGGAGGGCGTGGGGGCAGGGCCCCGTAAACCCAGCTACTCAGGCGGCTGAGGTAGGAAAATCGCTTGAACCCAGAAGGTGGAGGTTGCAATGAGCTGGGATCATACCACTGCATTCCAGCCTGTGTGATAGAGCAAGACTGTGTCTCAAAAAGACAAAAAAAAAAAAGAAGAAGAAAGAAAGAAAAAAAAAAAACTTTATGTTGCCCTTTGTCGTTTCTCCACAGCTAAGTTGCTCTAGTGAACCAGAACCTAGTGTCTTTTTGTATTTGTATTTTGTATTTGTGTGTATAGTGTTTTTTGGCATCTCCCAAATCAACTCATATGCTACCCATGGCAAAGAAGTTTGCTACTATATTGGCTGATTTAATCTAGGACACAGGAATTGCTAATGTTAAAATAGTGAATAGCATGCATTACTTGAAACATCATATATCCTGTAACTGTCACAATGTCAAGAGGCATAGAAAAGTCATTTTGTTAAGTAGAATCATGTTTCATAAATATAGAGAATGCCATCACTAGTTACCTTTAATTTTAATGAAAATCTTAGATATAGACTTATAACCCAATGCTCCTTCTTAATTTCCAGAAAATTATTTTCAATGTAAATGTTTTCAAACTAGCACTTTCAGAGGCTTATATCGGAAATATGTACAGATCAGCTTGTTCTTTCTTGGATATTAACATTCACATTTGCTATTAAAGGCAGAACTGAACCGTTTCCAAGATACGAAGAGACTCCTTCAAGATTATTACCGGGGAATGGAAAGTAAAATCCCAATAGAGGACAATAAGAGATTTACTCGAATCCCTTTGGTCCAGCTGGATAATAAAGACAATTCCGAAAGCCAGCTTAGGTAAGGCAGGCTATTATATCACACTGTAATTGTTTTAAACATAAAGCTTTGTGATTTAAAAGTAATTACCACTAATAAAAAATCATACTCCTTTATCTGCAAATCCAAGGTCCAAAAAAGCTCTAATAACCAAACTTTTTTTTAATCGTTTTTGTGTCATTGACTTAAGACTACTAATATACATGATCCAATTTATAGGGAATATTTACTCATTTTGCTGCAGAGATAAAATGCGTTTTATGATGGAGTCATCCCACAGACTCTGCAGGTGGTATTCAGGAATATATGGAACACACAAATTCTGAATTCTGAAACACTTTTGGCCCCAACGGTTTCTGGTAAGAAATTATGAACCTCCGCCAGGCGTGGTGGCTCACGCCTGTAATCCCAACACTTTGGGAGGCCGAGGCAGGGGATCACGAGGTCAGGAAATCGAGACCATCCTGGCTAACACGGTGAAACCCCGTCTCTACTAAAAATACAAAAAAAACATTATCTGGGCGTGGTGGCAGGCACCTGTAGTCCCAGCTATTCAGGAGGCTGAGAATGGTGTGAACCCGGGAGGCGGAGGTTGCAGTGAGCCGAGATCGCGCCACTGCACTCCAGCCTGAGCAACAGAGCGAGACTCCAATCTCAAAAAAAAAAAAAAAAGAGAGAGAAAGAAAGAAATTATGACCATCTAACACTTTTATGAAAGGACCAAAGCAGGTGTGTGTGTGTGTGTACATACTGTATTATATAAATGAAAATGGAAGGTGTTTTGAGTCTTTTACAGGTGAAGACATTGAGAAATAGTAAAGTCTCAGTAGTATGTGATAATGACCTTATGAGAGTGACTGAAAGACCTATTAATAGTCTAACATCAGATTTCTGCCAGCAAAAAAATAAACTTGGTGGTAGGATAGAAGAAAAATTTTATTTTCTGCCAAGCAAATCCTGTGCAATGTAAAAGTCTGTAAGTCATTGTTTTTGTACATCCAATGGGTAGGGGCAAGGGAAAGGCAAGATCCCCAACTCTGAGAAGTTCTGAACAAATAGAAAAATGTCTTCTAGAAATGGGAGGTAGGAGTGGTGGTGATTCCTGTGGCATGGTTTCCAGCTATAAAAAATTAAGAGATGGGAGGCCGAGACGGGCGGATCACGAGGTCAGGAGATCGAGACCATCCCGGCTAACACAGTGAAACCCCGTCTCTACTAAAAAATACGAAAAACTAGCCGGGCGAGGTGGTGGGTGCCTGTAGTCCTAGCTACTCGGGAGGCTGAGGCAGGAGAATGGTGTGAACCCGGGAGACGGAACTTGCGGTGAGCTGAGATCCAGCCACTGCACTCCAGCCCCGGCGACAGAGCGAGACTCCGCCTCAAAAAAAAAAAAAAAAAAAAATTAAGAGAGCTTTTAAAATTAAAGCAATTAAAAAATAGAAATCAAAATCCTTAAAAATTAAATAAATTTTAATTTGAACTAAATAAAATATAGTGAAGAATTAAAACAATCCTTTCAAATGATCAGTAGGCAGGTGATAAACAAAAAACATTATATCACATATGAGGAGGGGAAAAAAAAAGTCAGATTTAAAAAAATAATATAAAGTCACTGAAAGTTAAATGTAAATCTCCAAGGGGATGAGCTATATATTTGATGTTGAAGGCAGTGTACCATATTTTTACAAGTTTGCTCAGTCAATGCAGGTATCAGGAGTTGCACAAACTAAACGCAGAATAATGAATATATTTTGAAGTAAGACAGATCTGGTTTGAATACTAGTTCTGTTAATCATTGTATGTAAATAAATTAAGACAATTTATTTGTTGTCAAGTCCATCTCTCTTAACCCTCAGTTTCCTTATCTGTAAAGAAGGGATGTTGTGAATATTACGGAAAATAAAATCTACAAAGCATTTAGTACCATCTCGTGGTATCAGAAGATGAGACTGAGTCCCAATAACTCTCAATAAATATTGATTATTACCTATTGTATCTTCCTGATTTGTTTCTTTTACCCTCCCTTGTTCCAAAAAGAATTTGAGATGGCCTGAACACAATATTTTATGCAGTGATCCAAAGCCCATTTCTGTTCTCTCCTGGCTTTTTCCATCTACTCCCATCACATCCCTGTCAGGCCCATGTGTACACAAGAATATCTAAGAGTAAAAATGTGCCCCCTCTTTTTGACACAAATAGAAGGAAAATATTCAGCAAGATGCTGAAAGAGAACTTTGAGATTAAAAACAATTTTAAAAAATCCAAAAGCAATATAAACCACTAGAACCATCAAAAGAGGCCAAATGTCTATGTCTAGAGTGGCAGTACATTCTGTTCTCAGCACACGATAGCAAGTTAGGCATAATGGGTAAGCTGTTGATGTTGGGTAGTAGAATGAAACTGGCAAAAGAACAGCCAGTTCTTATTTCCTGTGAATAACTCTGCACCAATCTCAGCCTCAAATCACAGCTTTGGGTACCTACTGGAACTATCAGTCAATCAATATATCAACCAAGTAACCTATCAACCTGTCATATATAAAGGAAAACAAGAACAATGTTAAAAATTTTCATATATTTTGTCTGCTTTATTCCTCCCAACAACCATATAGTAATAATAATATTAGTAGTAGTATCATAAGATTATTCACAATGATAGTAATAACTCTTAGTTGATAATGAATGCTTGTAATAATTATCGTATTTGTATTATTCCAAGAGGAACTGAACTTGATAAAGTCAAATGACATGCTCAAGTTTATACCTACTAATAGTGAGAGAGCTACCTCAGAGTATTTTCCAGTAAATAAATTCTAAATGCAAATTCTTATTCTAAGTTATATACCACCAGTTCTGTCGTCCAAAGCAAGATGTTGAAAAATACATGTTGTACTGTATTAAACATCTCGAGATGATCACATAAGCCTTACCCTAACTTTTTGAGCCCATGAATCACAGTCAAACTGGAGTGACAGTGATTTAGCCTTATTTGATTTTTAAAATGTAATTTAATTTGGGGGTAGATGAGTAGCAGATCCTTAATACACTGCCTTTTTAGGCATGGTAGACTGTGACTGTGATGCTGTACCAGTGATTCATTTTTCTGAATCACTGCTCTGTTCTCCAGCAACTTGAGTCTACAAAACCAAATGCTTGTTCCTAGATTACTGATTCTGACTCTCTTCCTCTAGTTTCAACAAAGGCATCCTTGGAGCTGTTCTCTTCTCATTTCTTCCCCAAGCTGATAGCCCTTTGCTCTTTCTATTACTAAAGGGAGATCTCAGTCACAATAAGCATTCTACCTTGTAGATCTTTCCCTGCTTCTGTTAACCTTTGAGATCCTGGGATCCTTCTGGGATAAGATATTCCCAGAGGCAGCTCAAAAATTTCTTCACAGGAGCAGCAATAAGGGAAGAGGGAGGGAGAGCTTAACTTTGTGTCCCTACAGCACTTTATAAAACAAAGAAAAAACCTTTGTGGGGATGGTGCTGCAGGCTACCCCACCTACCATCAAAACTTAGCTGCCTCTGTGCAGTAGCCCCTTTCAGACCTCACTTGACTATTAGTCATGTGCTACTGTCAGAGGAGATCAGGTGTGTTCAATGTGGTATGGCCATGGACAGTCATGTCCTACCTTCAGTTGTGCCCTCTGGGATGCCAAATGATACTTGTCACCTTGGAAAAGTGATGCCCAGTTTTGTTTGGTTTGCTTTTTCATGACTGACTTTTTAATTTATCCTTCATGGGAAGTGTATGCTCTGGAACAAATTACAAAGTCGCATTTTTTTATAATGGCCATTGTCTAATCCTCTGCTTTATAATTACTGAGAATTAAGTCTCAAAATTATGGTTTTTTTTGTTGTTTGCTTTGAGTCTCTTCTTATTAACAAGACGTTCTAGACCACAAAAATTTGAATGCAGTCTTTTGTAATCTTTTCTCCATTAAAATAATTCTTCCAGGAAAACTTTGAAAATTGAAATTAAACCAAGAGAGTAAAATTTACAAAGTAACATGGTCACAAAAACAGAATTCTGTTAAGCAAAATTTTTATATCCCTTTTGCTTGTTTGTTTCTCAAAGAATTCCTCTATTTCCTCGAATATCCATTTCTCTGGAAACAGTTACGCCCAAACCAAAAACAAAATCAATACTGAAGGGCAAGATGGATAACTCCCTAGAAAACGTTGAGTCCAACTTTGAGGCTGATGAAAAGTTGGTCATGGACACCTGGCAACAGGCTTCTTTAGCAGTATCTCACATGGTAAGCAATGTTCGTTGTATTTCCTGTTAGTAATACACATTCATTGAATACCAAGGTTGGTAATATGCTATAAGTAGAAAATTTACACAATGTTCTCAAGCACTGTAGAAAGTTGTACCTTCAAAACATTTTTTTTTTTTTCTGAAAGAAATAGAGAAATGTGATTTGGTCAATAAATTTTTGAGATCTTGAAACAAATGAACAAACACTTAGGTTATTTTCTGTGCTGGACTCCGGTTCCAAGTGCAGGGCCTAAAGGCATTCAGGAAATGTTAATGAGGCGGATCAAGTGTAAGAAAATCAAGACGGAATGGGTCTGGGACCAAGCGGAAGTCACACCCCTGCTTGCAGGGGCACATGCAATTGCCATTTAAAAATGAGGTCTGGCATGGTCAGATTTTCCAATTTTCCAAGAAAAACCAGGCATTCAGATTTTTATGTAAAACTACTAATTTTAACAGGTAAGAAATGAAAGAAAAATTTTTAAAAAATATTCTGCAGAGCCAAGCAAATCACACATCTGGCCTATAGGGCTCTAGCTGGCAACCCCTCTGCTAGGCATTTTTCCTAAGTCACCTGTGGGGTAAGTATTGTTATTATCCAATTTACGGTGGGGAATTAAGGTTCAGAAAGGCTAAGAAACTTGTCCAAATTCTCCTAGCAGGTAAATATCAAAATGAAATTTGAACCTAGGTCTATATGACTTCAAAGCTTATATCATTTCTACCCAAATCAAAAGGGAAAGGGGAGGCATACACGTAACTTTAATCCAAGCAGAAGGTCCACACCATGAAGAAGATACACACGGAGTTTAACTCAGATGATCAATTGCTATTCCCTCATCTACCGGGTCGTGGGTATACCAAGATGTCTTCTCTTTTCACAACATGCCAAGCCTTCTTTGAGTTTCCATGAAATATCTCATTCAAACAGAAAGCAGCATCAACTTTCCAAAAGACTTTGTGAAAGAGGCAGAGAGGACCTTGCATCGCAGATCTCACAGCAAACAAAATTTCCTACTGGGCACTTTCCAAGTCCCTTCTTGGCCTCTCTGCCTTCAGGCTTCTTTTTCTCTGACCTTCTCATGCAAGCAGACTCAGTGTTTCCTTTCTTCCTCCCTCTCTTTCTTTTGTTCTTTTTTCCCTCTCAGAAGCAATGATAACTCCTCTCATTGTTTTGCATGACTTAATGAACCCAGCTAAAGTAAATACTCATGGCACCACTACCTGGGGAGAAATAGAATAAAGGATGCAGCTACCTAGTCATACTTTGCTTCTTCCCATTCCTAACGCACTTCATATTCTCTAAAGGGGACCACCATATTGCCTTTTTAGGAATCATTTCCTTGGTGTTCTTAAAAGTTTTATTACCAAAGTCTATAGCTCTAAACACTGATGTGTAGCTTTCCTTGCTTTTGAGCTTTAGATAAATGGACTCATATCTTTTGTCTTTTTTGTGTCTTTTTTTGCTCAAGTTTCTTTGTGAGATTCATCTTATATTGTTCATTTTTTGTTGCTCTATTGTGTTTCATTATATTAATGTATCACAAATTTAACCAGTGTGCTTTTGATATACTTTGAGTTTTCAATTTGGTGTTGGTATGGATACTATGAATGTTTGACCATGTCTACTGGTACCCATGGGCATAGATAACTGTTGGGTATACATCTAGCAATATGTGCTATCTTCAAAGTTAGTAGACAATACTATACATAATACCTCAGTTTTCATAGGTAGTGCTAAACCCTTTCACCGTTTCACTGAACTATCATCTTTGTTATACATTAGATGACCACTTATGTGTAAGTCTGTTGCATTGCTCCAATTGTCTATCCTTATGCCAACACCACACTGATATCATACCATTTATTTGTTACCTGGATGAGCAAATCTTCCCATCTTGTCATCTGCCAAGAACATTTTGGATTTTCATAACTTTTTGCCTTTCCATATTAATTTTCAAATCAGCTCACCAAGATTCACAAAAATGTTGGCTGCTGATTTTTAGGGCAGTATTTATCAGATTATGAGCATTCCTTTTCATACCCTGTTTACTCTGAGAAGTTTTTTCATGAATTGTATTTTCAAATGCTTTTTCTGCCTCTATTATATACTTTTTTCTACATTTTCTGTTAATGTGAAAAATCACACTGACCAATTTTCTAATGTTAAACTTATATCACATTCCTAGAATAAGTCCAACATTTTAATGAGACATCATGTTTCTTACATATGGGTGGATTTGTTTTGTTAATACTTTGTTTAGAATTTTAGTCTTTGAGTAAGACAGTGAAAGTGAGAGAGTTCTGTAATTTTCCTTTCTCATGCTATCTTTGATGGCTTGGAGCATCCAGATAATACTAGCTTCATAAATCAAGCCTGGATATGTTTCCTCTTATACTTTGGAAAATTTTATCGAAGTTAGGATTATTTCTTCTTGAAATGCTTGGTAACATTCACTAAGAGGCCATCTAGAACTAAAGTTTTATAGGAGTTTGTAGCAGGAGTTTTTGTTGCCCTCCTCCCACCCAGGAATTCATTATCTTTAATAGATTATGTAATGCTTTCTTTCTGGTTTTGTTTCTTCTTAGAAAAAATTTGAGTTGATTTTGGTAAATATTATTTTGCTAAGAATTTTTCTATTTCTAAATGTTTAAATTTATGTGTATGAAGTTATTTAAAGTGGCCTATGTTTGTGTTAATATTTTCAGTGTCTATATGATGTTCACTTTGTCACTTCTGATGTTTATTATTTGTGCTTTTCCTCTTTTTTTAAATCAGCTTAGCCGGATGTTTATCAATTATACCAGGTTTTCCAATAACTGACTTTTAACTTCATTCATTTATTTTACTGTGTGTGTTTTTTCTTTTCTTAATATCATTTTTTTCTCCTGCTATTTTCTTTGGGTTTACTTTTCCATTCTTTCCCTAGGGATTTGAGATAGATCACAGTTTATTAGTATCCAGTCTTTTTTTCTAATATACACATTTGCTACTCTAAAGTTTCCTCTATGACCACTTTAGCTTCATCTCAAAGCTTCTAATATGTTACTTTTATCATCGAATTCAAAGCATTTTAGAAATATATTTTTAATTTTCAAAATAATATGTTGTTTTCTGGCTTGATTACATTTTATTTGTGGAACATATTCTTATAAAAATTTTTGAAGTTGCGTTATGGTCATTTTTTGAAACGTTATGTGTGTACTTGAAATATATTCATTTAAGTGTTTGGTATGCATATTGTACCTTATTGTTTATATATAAATATTTTGATATATTGATTATTTTATTATGTATTTATACATATAGATTATATATCATTGTTCAAATCTTACTTTTCTCATTTTATTTGTTTTCTCCTTTGAATTATCAAGAGAGTTTTAATAAGATCATCTGTAATTTGGTCAATTTGCTTTATGTATATTTGAGAATGAAATTGGGAAAATATAGATTTTAAATTGTTAAATCTTTCTGGTGAATTGAACCTTTTGTTATTATGAAGTATTCTTCTGTATATATAGTGCCTTTGTTTTGTAAATTATACTTTTAGATATTGTTTATATGTCATATCTTTTCATCCTTTCATTTTCATCTTCTCTGTGTCTTTTCTGCTTTTATTCCCCTCTGTAAGTTTGGTCATCATGTATTCTGTTACTAGTCTCTTAGCAGTTACCCTAGGAATTACACCATGAATTAGTGGCTCCACAAAGTGTATTATTTAGTCAATAATTCATGGTGTTATTCCTAGGGTAGCCACTAAGTGATTTAGTGTGTGCTGTTTCCAAGCTAACGTGGGGGAAAGATGAAATTTAAAATATTTAATCCAAAAGAAGCAAAGAAAAGAGGGCAGAAAAAATATTCAGGACAAGTAATACAAATAGAAAGTACAGAGAAGATGGTAGATTTATAGCCCAAATATATCTATGACTACATTAAATTTAAAATGGGCAAAATTTCTTTCTAGATGAAAGAAAATAAGTATTAGATTTTTTTAAAATGGGATATGATGCGTATAAGGATACTAAAATGGTTTTTCATTATTGACCTAAGAATGGGTTCATGTGATGATCTCCACTTGCCATCATAGAATCTCACACCCTTGACCTTCTTTTGGTCTTCAGCGTTAGTTTCTACCTTGATTCCTGACCAGTTAATTGTCTCTTTCCAGAAGTCCTAGGCATCTGTGATTGTGTGCTTCTATTCTTGTAGCAGTTATTGTCTTTCCCACTCATTTGGCTCTTAGTATCTAGGTTTTTGTTGTTGTTTTGTAATTTGTATCTTGTTAGTTTTAGTCTGAATACTTAACTAGATTCTAAAACTTTTTGTATACCTTGGACTTAGCATAACGCCCACATCAAACATAATATAATAATAAGCTCTCAATATAGTCTTGAGGTGCTGCTGCTGCTATGCTGATGATGCTGATGTCAATATTAGCGATGACGTTAGTGACAATAATGATCATAGCAGAGACCACAACAAGTACCAAGCACCAGAAAGTGGGAAACCAGACGTAGAAGCTCTAGAAAAAAATGAGTTATTCTTACTGTTAAATGAGGAGCATAGACATAATCTACAAGTCTTATGAATCTCATTAAAATTACCTGGGAAAATGACACTTAAAAATAGTATATTCTTAGAAAGGGAGGCTCACATAGCACAAAAAACATTGGCTATGCCTCTTGATTAAGCTGATACGATTTTAGGAAAATCACTTAACTTCTCTAATTCTTTAGTGCTGTGTCTGTAATATTGGAGATAGTCGATCTTTCCTTTATTGAATGGCTGAAAAAAATCCAACGAAATACTGTATGTAAAGTGTTTTAGAAACTGTACATTTTAACTTATTATTATGTTAAGAAATGTATTCAAAATTGTACCCTTTTCCTTGTGGACTTTTAAAAATCTTATAGAAAGCATAGGAAAATGGACTGCTTCGTGATTAATATTACTAACAATTATATTTGAATCCTGCTTGACTTTGATGTCACACAATCTTAAGGGAACTTGGAATTTCAAATGAAACAGGTGTGATTCACTAAACTGTTGTGGGGCAAACAGCACCAGCTGAGATTAGTGCAACTAAAAATGAGAGCACTTTAACATAGGCTTTTTTCTACACAGCAGTTTTACCAGGAGCTATCCATTTAGTAGACTGTGTTAATTTTTGGCAAAACTTTCTTCTAATTAGCAGATATGCAGTGATTTCAAAGAAACAAGTCATGTTTTTAACGCCCACAATGTCAAGGCATTATGTCTAAAGTTCTCTCCAGTGTTATAAGGTAGATTGCTGAATGAACTGTGACATGTTAATTTTTGATAGCAACCCAGAGGTCTTTGAGGAAAGTGTACCAGAAAATTTCAGACAATTATGATGCATAATTATGCAGGTAATTATGATAATTATCATCATCACAAAGTTGTTTACAAAGGAGAAAAATCCAATTTTGAAGAAAATTGCTAACTTACAGTGCTTTGCAGGAACCGATTAAAAATTTAATTGCGTGCAATTTAGGGGAGGAATTTTAGCAAGTCTGCTTTCCGCTTTACTAAGAACTTGCAAGTACAGTATCTGGTACTCATTTTTATCAAAAGGGCATCTGGTTTTAAAAAAAAAAAAAAAGGAAAAAGCAAAGGCAGAAAGAAGGAAAAAGACAAAAAAAACACACACAAAGAAATCTGCTTGCTCTCTGAAACCTTTCTGTATTCCTCCAAGATTCTGTTGATATTGAAGAAGTTGAGGGTGCATTCTGTGGAATATGATTCTTTTGAAAGAAAGTCCATTGATTATTAAGGATCTACTGGGCATCCCCTTTGAGCACAGCTCAAAGCTATGAAGAATACAAAGAAGTGGGACTAGCTTAGTTCTGGGAAGCATGAGGCCCCTTTGGAGGGTGGGGCAAGATTTAACACTCACAGAACACTTGGAAACAGTTACATGCTGCCATGGGGTATGAAGTGTGGCAGAATTTTGGAGAAGGCAGGAACTGGCTAGTCTATCTCACCCACAAAACTGCAACAGTCTTTGAGGGTAGAGATTATGCCCTATTCATTTTTCTATTCACCTCCATTAATCTTTCTCTTTGTCCTCTCATCCCCTCACCACATTCTCCCCAGGAATTATAAATAATTAAATAAGCCCTCAATAGCCCCCATTTTTTCACCAATTGCTTTTTTAATTTAGATTTTAGAGTTTTAAACCCTATGTTGCTACGGCCTCCACAATGTGTGTATGTGCGCATGTGTGTGTGTACGTGTGTGTGTGTGTGTGCGTGTGTGTGTTGTTTCTACCTTTGGGATTCTTTCCTGGGTTCTCATTTCTTGGGGCAACACTCATAAACAACCTTCACCTCCCAGGGGCAGTTGAACTTATTGCCAAATGTCCAGTATTTCTAACTACAATTACAACCCCAGTGACACAAGCCTCAAGACAAGAGTGTACATATATATAATCTTAATTTACAAATAACAATTGCATATATTTGTAAAGTACAGTGTGAAGTTTTGATGTCTGTATACATTGTGGGATGATTGAATCAAGCTAATTACCATATCTATTACCTCACTTATTATTTTTGTGGTTAGAACATTGAAAATTTACTCTTTTAGCAATTTTGAAAAATACAATACATTATTATTAACTATAGTCACCGTGCTGGGCAATACATCACCAGAGCTTATTCCTTTTATCTAACTGAAACTTAGTACCTTTGACCAACATCTCCGCTTTCCCTGTCCCACCTACTCACCCACCCCAGCCCCTGGTAACCACTCTTCTACTTTCTACTTCTATGCTTTGACTTTTTAAGATTCTACAAATAAGTGAGATCACGCAGTATTTGCCTTTCTGTGCCTGGCTTATTTTGCTTAGCATAATGTCCTCCAGGTTCATCTGTGTTGTCATGAGACAAGGTTTTTCTACTGCCTGAAGTGCAGAGCCAGCCACAGAGGAGGGGTGGAGGGATACCTGCGGTTCCTGACCCCATGGGTGGGCAAGGACAGAGCTTCTCCATTCAATACTTAGAATGAGGTGACAGAACAACTAATCTCAAGCCAGGACACTTGTGAAAATGAAAGGAGGCGCTTGGTGGAATGGAGAGAAGCTGAAAGTCAGCCCAGCAGAGGAAGTTAACAACCTTGGGGTTAGCCTGTGGAATGGGTCAACCTCACAAATACTGAGTCTTTTGAGGGTGATATTTAGTGCTTAAGTAAAATAGAAGCCCAGGATTCAACTATCCATGACCCAATTAACACAGGGCATGCAGTCCCAAAAATTGGCTGTTGCCAAGGGTGATGAATATATATAGGTAGATACCACAAATATACACCCAGAACATAAACAAATACGCTTCTGCAGTATTAAAATTTTATGAATGCAAATAAAAGAAAAATATATAAAAAAACAAACAAACAAACAAAAAACTCTGTAGGGGATCAGTTATCAAAAAAGGGAAATACCCCGGATTGGAAGTCGAGAGATTAAAGGAACTGAGAAGTATAAATGTGTGTCTGAGATTTAAAAGAAAGGACTTTTTGCATAACCATGGAGTTGTGACACTCTGGAGGTGGCAGTGAGGAAACATAAGGATGATTTGCAGGTGGGGCTTGAGAAAGTGAGCAACCTCCACACAGATGGTGGCAGGGAAGTCACATCTTGGGACAGGGCCAGGTTTCCACTTAAGTAAAACATGGTGGGGTGTATTTTGTAAAGTTCGAGTACGTGGGCACAATTGTTTACAGTGGATTAAGGTTTTAACAGAATTTATGACTACATCCAAATGGTTACCATATTTTATAAATGCTACATTAACTGAAATATTGCTGTTATGCAACCAGGTGGCTGCCGAAATTCATCAGAGGCTCATGGAAGAAGAAAAAGAAAACCAGCCAGCAGACCCCAAAGAAAAATCTCCTCAGATGGGTGCAAATAAAAAAATCAAAAAGGAGCCACCCAAGAAAAAACAGGAAGATAAAAAACCCAAAGGTATTTATGCTTTTAGCACTCAGAACTCTGGATGCCTAAACCTCTCCTTGGTAGAAAACAAGCATTTAACTAGACACGTTATTAGCCTCTAAGCCACTAAAATACTACTCATTAGGTTTAAACTAGAGACCCAGGCTTCTATGATTTGTGATGTTAGTGGCAAATCATATTGCATACCAAGCCCACCTAACTTGTTTAACCAAATAGCCAGATGTACCAAGGGTAAAACAAACCTCAAGGACAGTTTTGAAATGTTAAAAGAACTTCCAGGATGGTACTATGTCATCTGAAAAGTCTATGCAGAAAGGCTAATACTGCAGTAACAAAGAGAAGTTTAAAAGCTATGTTTTTAAAGCTATGTGTATGTTTCAGGGGCAAGTCCTTTTCTCCTGGAGGCCTCCTGCCTAAATCCCTGCCTCAGTAGCATGAGGAAAAACAAAGAGTTGAGAAAATACATCTTGAAAGAGATCCCTAATTAACCTTAGGAATGAATAGCTTTGGCATCAACATTACCTTCCCACTCTGAAGTGGAATCCTGGGAAGCAAATGAACAGAACTCACTCCACTCATAGATTGCCCATGATATGTTTATTATACACCTGCTATGTGAAATGCTCTAGATGGATGCCAAGAACACAATAGTAAATTAAAAATAAAACCAAAAATCACAACCACAGTCCTTGCCCTAACCCAGCTGTAGTCTTGCAGTAAAGACATGTGACTATTGTTCTTTGATAGGGGAGGTACAAGTACCTTAAGAACAAGGTCTCCCCACTCCGTCTTAGGATGAATAAGATGCTTCTTAGATGGAAAACATTCAAGCAGCCAGGAATGGGAGTTAAAGAAAAGCACTGAGGATGGAGGAAGGAGTGGGTCAGTGGCACTTGAAGGAAAGGGAAGAGTATTACCTTGATAAAGAACACACCGCTTAAGTCCATCTCAAGTGGCAGGAATAAGGGAAGTGCTTCTGTTAACTTTAATGGAATAACTGTTGGGGTCTGATCCCTTAATTTTACAGATGATAAAACAGAAATCTAGAGAGATTAATCTCTCCTTCATCTGTAACTTACATATACATCTATTATTGCAACATATTACAATTTCTTTGTTTACAGTATGTCTTCTTTACAAGATTTGAACCCTTTGAGGTCAGACCCTCAAAGAAAGATTAGTTGAACTGAAAATAGAGCTATGTAAATGAACCCTGCAACTAGAATCATATTGCCATAGCCCATGGGTAAATCCTTTGATAAGTACTGACAAATTTATATTTTCTAATTAGCTTATATAATCACTGATGTACTTGTAGTTAAGTTGTAATTAAAATATAATTAAATTAGCCAGGAGCAGTGCCTCACACCTGTAATCCTGCACTTTGGGAGGCCAAGGCAGGTGGATTGCTTGAGCCCAGGAGTTTGAGATCAGCCTGAGCAACATGACAAAACTCTGTCTTTACAAAAAAATACAATAAAATAGCTGGGTGTGGTGGCACACTTCTGTAGTCCCAGCTACTAGGGAGGCTGAGGTGGAAAGATTGCCTGATCTTGGGAGGTCGAGGCTGCAGTGAACCATGAGCATGCCACTGCACTCCAGCCTGGGTGACAGAGCAAGACTGTTTCAAAAGATAATAATGATATTTAAATAGATTCTAGATTCTTGACCATCACCCGCATTTCACTCACATCTTCTTGCGGTTATTCTCGTATCTTCTTTTTTTGGTGAAGATCTAGGAAATACTTTGCTAACGGAAGTTATCCTTTATGAAGTGGTAATTCTGCAGGTGTCTAATGGGGTCAGCACTATGTTGGGATTTGCTAATTTCTGTCCCCAAACTCTGGATTTCACTATGTTTGGAAACTGTAACCATCTCTGCACTTGCTACATACCTTATTTTTTAATTATACTACACAAATGGGGTGTTTTTATATGAGTCCAGCCCAGGAACCATACAGAGAATTCTCAAGGAAAAATTCAGTATTTCATCACACACACTGGGAGGACCAAGGTTTCATTGTTTCCAAATCACTAGAGGTTTATAGCTTAACAAATTTTGCTTTGTGCTCATTCTGTGCAAATACTATGTGCATACCTTTGTATTTCGTTAGTTTACTCAGCATGTTTCATTGCCCTTTCAGGTAAATCACCACCTATTGCAGAAGCAACTCCTGTCATAGTAACAACAGAGGAAATTGCTGAAATCGAAAGGAAAAATGAGCTGAGGCTCAAAATAAAAGAAGAACACCTTGCTGCCTTGCAATTTGAAGGTAGCAATTGAAACGACTAAGATGATGCTGTTCAGTAGAAAGGAGACCAGTAGCCAAACAGCCCACAACTGACTCATCAACTGCCTCAGACTATGTCTATAAGAACATACAGCAAAGAGGTTGAAAAGTACAATATTCAGTTGACTGATTTTGTTTGACCACACAAGGACTAGATTTGAGTGTTGCATAAGTCAGATGTTTTGACATCACCTAATCAGTCTTAACTAATGGCAGTATCTCAAAAAGAATCAAAAAGAATTTGGGAATGGGTTGGAAAAAGCAATAGCAGTAATTAAGATCTCATAAAACAGAAACAAAAGAAAATGTTGAAAGTTGGTATGATTTTATAGGTTTAGGTAGGGACTACCTAAAGTAAGTGGTTTTATATTACAGTAAGAATAATTTAGGTCCCTCATTAGGAAAATAAATTCTAACTAAAGGCTAACAGGTTCTGAAAGTGAGTGCCAGAAGAGCCAGTCATATATCTGTTATGTTCAGGGGTGTTCTTCTCTATAAGAGCAATGACTCCACAAAACATTTTCCTTATGGCTCTCCTAATTGTCTTGTAATGCAATTCTAAATGAAATCTGAAAAGATCAGGAAACTGAGCAAACCTATCCTAAGGGGAAAAAACATGGTCAATATACAAGATGACAAAACCACAAAAATGTGGCATGGGGTATGCCGAGAGACCTATAACTACTCAGTGACTATTAACTACTAAGGATGCTTTCCATCCCTTGTTTCTCTTGTTTTCTCTCCCCTGTCTTCCCCATCTTACTACCACCAACTTCTATAACTCCAACAATAAAATCTGGTCAGTTGAACACAGGGAGATTGTGGCATCAGGCAAGTCCAGGACAGATGCATCTCCCCTATTGCCTGCCCTGCATCTGATTTCAGTGGTTTTCAGTATACTTCATCTTTCAGTTCATTCCATACATGATCCTTAGTGTAGCAAAATTCATTTATTCATATAACAAATGATTATTGACTTTCCAGTCTGTACCAAGTCCTGTGATAGTTGCTGGAGACACATACTTGTATGTACGAACATAAACAAAAAATAAAACTCAGTCTCAAGGAAGAGAAATGCAATCACTGTCGCATGTTGACCTGTTGACAGCTGGGCCTGTAGTCACAGCTACTGAAGAGATTGAGGTGAAGGATCGATTGTGTTTGAATCCAGCCTGGGCAACATAGTGAGATCCTGTCTAAAAAAAAAAAAAAAATGTGATATTGGTGGTGGGCATATGGGGCAAAGGGGACATGAGGGGAGTTCCTGACTTACCCGAGAAACTAATTCTTGAGCTGAAGTGGAAGACTATGGAGAAGTTTTTCCAGGGGAAAAACTGGCTTGAGAATGAAGAGAAGTATTGCGTGCCATGGCAGAGAGAGGGCTAAGAGGGATATCAGCTTGTGAGTAGCTTAGGAGCATGAGTCATGTTCTGGAAAGGAGCGACTTGGGAGATGGAGAGGCTAGACCATGGAGGGTTATTTAGGCCCTGCCAAGAATGTTCGATTCTTCCCTGGTGGTAGCTGGGAGCTAGTGAAAAATTGTGAGCAGAAAAGTGATTATGATCACATCTGCAGGTGAGACAAATTACTCTGGATAGTGTGGAGGTGGATTTGGATTTGAGGTGGGGGAAGAAAGTTAGAAAAAGTAGGATTAAGGCTATTGCAACAGTTTAAGTGAGAGATAATCAGCACCCAAACTAGGCAGTGACAATGGAAAAAGCCAAAAAGAAACTGGAAAAATTTTGGAGATAAAATCCACCAAACAAATTATGTGCTAGGATCAGTAATGGGCCCGGGAGCACATGGAGTTTGCCCTGCTTTTAGTGGTGCTGAGAAATACAATGGCAATGCCACTCCAGGTTCTAAAGTAGGGAGATAAGCAAGAGACTTTGTCCCCCACTCCCTTTTCAAAATTCAGAAATTACCTATGTGTGTTCTCACATTTCGTTTGTCAAAGAGTAGACTGCTATAAAGTGCAATAGATAAAAAGCTCAATTATAGTTTTGGTTCAGATAATTTCTCAAATGACTCTACCACATACTACATTTTACTTCTCAGTGAGATGGATATTATCTTACCTATTCTGGTATGTTAAATGTGCACCTAAAGCTTCAAAAATTGAAGCATGAGTGGTTTCAAAGTGAATCTGTTCATTAGTAAATGAGTGCACTGCAATATGTTAAAACATTCTTATTTCTCTTTGCAAATAGAAACAGCCACACAGTTTCGACTTGAACTGATAAAGACAAAAGCATTGGCTCTTCTTGAAGATTTAGTAACAAAGGTGGTTGATGTATATAAACTCATGGAAAAATGGCTTGGTGAGAGATACTTGAATGAAATGGCCAGGTAAAGTACCACATGACTTTCTGAAAATATGTTTTGTGTATTCTAAGTACCAAAATTGATGAAGATTTTTAAGGTATTTACAAATTTAAATTACAATTACAAATATAAATTTTGACCTTTTAGGAAATCACGTGTATAAACAGACAACATGAGCTTTACTATTATGTTTGTATTAACTCTTTTCTAACAGTAAATCATGCATCAAAGGGTTCTATTGCTATATTTAACTTTGCACAGTATTTATAAGTTTAGCTGTCATACTGATCAATACGAACCTTATTTTACAAGGTAAGATTATAGTTAATTTAAAAATAGTTTTCAGAAGTAAAATAATACTCCATACTTTTCTAATGGTAGATTTATTATTAGTCAGAGCCAATTAAGGGGAGATTAAAAAGTCATTCACTGGAATGTTTTACCAACTAGACTTACTCTCTTTTAAGACCAACCCCAAGTTTTACTTTTCTGTTGAGTTCCGAAGACTTCCCAGACTTCCATTGCTACTGAGGGGCAATGACTCCCATCCTGTTAGTTCACCCCTAAAAGGTACAAAAAGGTAGCTCAGCAGAATGAGTCATGATTGTCCAGACCAGGAGCTCCATCTTGTCCACAAATTAGAAGCATGGTTGACGGCTCTGGGCCTCATTGGCTTCATCTATACAAGCAAATACTCCAGCCAGCTATTTCAGAAGTTTACACTAGATCTAGATTCCAAGATGCACTACAGTTTACAATAAACATTTACTGAAAACTTATAAGTTGCTACACAAAGAGTATTCAAAAGGCAAGTATTCTTAGAAGCAACAATTGTCATGTAAAAAGCAGCTGTTACGGTTTGTTTTCTCTGGTCCTTGTCTCATAGTGAAGTTCTTCTGTAAAGTCTTCAGCCTAGTTGTTTAGAACTGCTGCTCCATAGTAAAACAAACAAACAAGCATTAAACAGAATAAAAAATGCAAACACAAGCATAAGTAAGTAAGTTTACTGCAGTAATACTTAAAATCATTTTCCTACTGGATAACCAAGTCAGTTACTCATCAGCATCACACAGCAGTAATATTCAGTTCTGTTCTCTGCCTACTATTTTCAAATGAAAGTGTATCGTCTTCATTTTTGGGATCCATGACTCCCATCCATGTGGCCATCCAGTGTAAATGCATATTAGTTTTAGCAAATGTACTCATATTTCTCAGATTTATATTGTATATGTCTTTGCTCTGTGAATATACATACGCTGTCATGAACCGTGGCCCAAGAAGTTAAAACCTAGAAATGTGATACAAATAAATAAAAAAATAGTTGACAGGTCCCTTTGACCTTCAAATCCTGTTTTCATTTTCCGGGCACTTTTTTCCTTCCATTGTTAAGATTACTCCTAATAACCTTCCACTAGGTGGCGCGCATCTGTTTTAGTATCCTGATTCCCAATAAAGGTACTGTTATTCTATTAGTCTTGTTTTACAGAGTATCCTACAGGGTTATGGTTGGGTCTCAATCCACATTTGGAGTCCCTCCTCACTCACGTAAACTCAGCAGCTATCCAGTGACCTTCTCCTCTGTCCCCGAGCACGCAACCACCCTAAAGCATAAACTAATAGACTAACCTGTATTACGTGGACACTCACAAAGACAACGTTCTGAAGTTGAATTCGAGTATCTTTTGAAAGATAGCAACTAATACTACTTTTTAAATTTTCAGTTGTATGTTCAGTATATGGTATATTTGGTGCTTATGAATTATATAAAATCAGATTAAATTTGCATTTTTCTGTGATGCTCACTTTCATTGTAATATATAAACAAGATCTTGTCTTCGGTACAGCGATAAGCACTTATTCATGTATGAAACCTCTCTAGCCTTTAAAACGACTTTTAAAATGTCATTAACTATACCCGTAGTACAGTTTAAATCCTTGCCGTATGTGAGTTCACATTAATAGCCATAAGATAGGGAGTGTTGTGTGGTTGATTCCATTGCAAAGACAAGGAAATTTAGAGAGCTTAGGTTACTTGCCCCAGGATCTGTGGCTAGAGAGTGTCCTAGGATGAGAACTCAGATTCCAGTACTCTTTCTACCACATCATAGTGGTTCCCAACTGTTGCTCCTTTACCATGTAATCTAGCTAGGAATTGTTATTCTTCATGAAGACAGCAAAGCAATTTCAATGGATTATATGCAAAAGAGGCTATTCTGATATCTTTGTTTTAGATAACATCAAACTTCTTGACAGAAATAGAGAAAAGCCACTCTTCTAGAAATACATTATCGAACTTGATTCACTTCATAATTCATCCTTATTCCAAATAAATGTATTATTCTAATAGTCAGGTTTTACAGAGTATTGTGCCATATAACCTTATTCTGGTTCATACTTAGAATGAAATATAACCCTTGATATAATCTTGCTTACGTAGTAAAATATATTCTAATACTAATAAAAACTATATTTAATAGATTCTCTTTAAGTTCAGTTTTGTGTAAAATATGTAACTATTAGCTATTTAATAAGCATGCATTTTCTATTTAATCTGCATTTATTTATACCCTGCCTTTTTACAAAATAGATTTGGGGACAAATTGAAATTTATAAGCATCCAGATGGAGTTGTCTAACAGCTATATAATGTGTTTACTTTTGTGTGTATGTCTTATAAGCAAACTTTATTAATCTCATAGTATCTTTCATGGGGTTAACGCTATCCATTTTACCACTTTCAGTGTAGAAAAATTAACTGACGTAGCTCGCTATCACATTGAAACATCTACAAAAATTCAGAATGAACTTTATTTAAACCAAGAAGACTTCTTCATTAATGGCAATGTAAAAGTCTTTCCAGATCCTCCCCCACCGATACGTCCTCCACCTGTAGAAAAGGAAGAAGATGGCACCCTGACCATCGAACAGCTTGACAATCTTCGGGATCAGTTCTTAGATATGGCACCTAAAGGTAAGAAAAATAATTATTGTGAAAAGAGCACAAAAAAAGGTTAAGATTAACCAGGACAGCAATCACTTGCCAGCAAGTAAAATCAGCTCTATGGGATCATGTAGCACTAAAACATGTCCTTGCTTTGTTCTAGTTTATTAAATATTTGTTTCATACAGCACAGACCCTAATTAAACAAGCAGAACCCACTGTGAATAATGCTTGAGCAGTGTGGTGATCTTCATTCCTGGTAATTCCCTCTCCTGTCCTCCCCGCCCCTTGCTGACAGGTTTATATATTTGAGTATTACTCCACTTGGCAGCTTACAGAAAGACTTTATGCATACTTCTAGTTTAGATATTGTATTGAGATTATGAGTTTGTGTCTCTCTGAGGGGAGACCAGGGAATAGAAGATCTCCCTTTTATGTTGGCCTTTTCCCTCAGTGCTTGTAGACCATAAGCAGAATCAAATAAGCTGTTAGAAAATGTTGGCTTAATTAATTAGTTTGTTCGTGTGTATGTGTAAATGTTTTCTGCGCACAACAATTTTAGCTCTTTCACATTTTATCAGCATGGACCTACAGCATCTGCACAGGCTTTTTTTATTCAGGCTTTTCCTACTTCCAGATATTCTTCAATGAGTTCTGTCAATTGATAGCTCAAGTAATTCAGACAGATCATATAGGATTATCATCTCCACTTTAAAGGTCTAGACACTGACTCGCAGAGGAGTTTAGCAGATTTTTTGCCTATGATCATATGTCATTCAGAACTCTGCAGATCCAAAGTTCTTGCCCCTTCTCACTGAACTAAGTTGCCTCTCATAAGCAGATTTCTTTTATCTTTCAACATATACTACTTATTGGGAAATTATTACTTTTGCCTGTAGCATAATCAACTGACTTTAGTATTAATACAATGTTACTTTTAAAAAAAAGTTCAGTATTTCTAGAAATTTACATCATATATCATTAGTAAAAAGAGCATTACTCTAAGTCTGAAAGCTTCCTTGACAAGCCCAGTGGGTGAAATTGGTGTATATGTGTGTGCCTGGGTGAGCCTTGTGCTTTGATATGTCAGCTCATCAAATCAGCTAGAGCAGGCTTTACAGCTCCAAGGTATAAAAGCTAACACTTCAGCTGTGGAGGGACAGAGGTGCTGTTTGGCAGCATTTGGGCATGAAGGAAACATGGCCATCAGCAGGTACAAAAAAATCTCGACTTTACAAATCAGCCCATGAAATCCCTTCAGTCCTTTGGTCAGGCAGAGTGCACCCTCTTCTCCATGGTGCGAGTTTCACAATGCCCTGTTATTATGTACTTCCCTCTTCAGAGTTGCTTTTTCTCTTCATTTTATCCAGGCCATTATTTTACACATAAAATAAAAAGATATGTGTAAATGGATTCTCATCATGACATGTGGTTTGCTTTAATCCTACATTCTGGTGACTGGGAGGAAATCACTCAATTAATAGGTAAAAACTAAAGGCATCTGGGGACACTTGAACAGGTAGAAGTGGATTTTGAAAATTATGATCCACTTATAATATCTTCCAGAAGGGACCCTAGTATCCATGATGCTAACCATAATACTTTCTTGGATCCAACCTCAAATCCATAGCTCATATTTCAACTAAAATTTTAAAAATAAATTTTAAAAAATAGCAGCTATAACTTGACATGTGTCTCAGAAGATTAACTCTAGAAACCCTTGGGAAACAAAGACGTTGACAGATAAACGTTTTCAGACAATGGGAGAAATAAGAAGGGAGGGAGAGGAAATATAGGAAGGGAGGGAGGGAGAAACAGAAAGAGTTTTTTTTTTTTAATTTTTATTTTTTAAAAAGCAGAGTAAAAGGAAACCACTTGCTCTAGGAGCTGAGAGTTTAATTTGAAAAGGCAAGCAAAGAAGAAGGAAATATGAACAACTATTAGAGTTCTTTCTGGGACACAATATGAATGTTATTCAAGTGCTCAAGAATGCAAAGCATCAGTGTGCCCTGAAATTGGTCAGGGAAAAGTTTGTGGAGCAAAACTTTGGAGGGGAAATTGAAGAGGGTAAAGAGATTTTGTGGCAAGGCTAGAGAGAATGTTTACAGCTAGGGAAACAGCTGCTGGAAACCCTGCAGACAAGAAGCATGAGGATAGGAGCATGATGTTTGGGAAACGGTTAGGAGACTGCTCTGCTTTTCTTTCTCCAACTGCATGAACTTCAGGCGAATGGAAGAGGAGACTTTCTCTGTCTGAGGAACCACCTCCACCCAGCCAAGCTGGAGAATTAACCCATATGCAAGAATAACAGTTGTAATTAACACAGAATTTACAAGGCTATACAATACTGTAGGAATTGGGGATTGTGATCATTCAAAGTGAGTTATGCATGGTCTATGGGCAAACAGTTTAGACTCTTTTCTCTATTAACTCAATTATACCATTTGAAAAACTATGTATTGCATATATTGCTTTTTAGGTGTATCTAAAATAATTAATAAGTGTTGGGAATTTGATTGACAGGAGTAATGTTCATTGTTATTATTCTTACTATTCTTATAGAGGGCAGGGAAAAGTACTATTCCATTTTCTGCTTCCCAGAGTCACAGAATTGGAGGTTCTCTACTGATACCCTTGAAATCAGGCTCCAAACATTGACAATGGCCATGCCTCAGAAAACCCATTAACTGCTGCTCACCCCTTTTCCCCGTCTCTTCTGGCCCCACAAAGTATACTCTGACTTTTTTGTTTTTCTACCACATTTGGCAATTGTTCACTTAAGAAACATGATACACACCCATCCGTCTTTTAAATGAAGGCTTTTGTTGTATTTCTTCCAAGAAATGGAAAACAATCCTTTATGATACCTTCCATTGTATTTACCCTAGAACTCTACAATTTCAAAAGACAATCTTAGTGAGTGATAACAGGTTTGAGAGTATGGAGGAGCTGACTGAACATGGTGTGTTTCAAATGTGTGATCCTGCAGAACTTCCTGCTCAAACTTGCTATTATTTCTATGCCAAGAAATATAAACATTTTCCTATATTATTTCATATATGCCCATGTAACATATAATATCTAAGATGCAACTTTCAAGTTCACGAAAATATGTTAACACAGATGGATTTTTTTTTGTGGGGGAAGCATACATATTTTCATATAATAGCCATTATGTTACTATCCCCATGGTAAGATTTTTTAGCAGATTTATAAGGAGCACTGATGTTACTAAATTACACTTTGCAAGTTTTAATCATGCCACACAAATACAATTATTGAATTATTATTTAATCTTTTATTAAAACAATGACTGAATGGCTTAAATTCTTGTGACTAGATGGTATCAGGATGTAAATGGAAAGAACTAAAGCTTCAGGGGTTTTCTGCTACATATTGTTTAATTCGTTCGAAAACAAAAGTCTTCATTAAAATAGCCCTTACTAAAGAAAACATAAAATTGAAAAGCATCATATATTGTAACATATTCAACACTCTTTTTCTGGTCAAATTCTGCCACTTAATGATGATTCTACCTCTCTTTTGGTAAAGGTAATGATGAGACCTAAAATAGTATTTATTGATATGATTGACACAAATATACCAGAAAAATAATGACCTTATACATGATAATCAAATGAGATCATGCAAAATGCAATGAAACAGTTGATTACACTTGCATTTTTCCTGCCACTTAGCAAAGATCCATACTTTAGAAGCATGAGAACAGCATGAGTAAAAGAAAGCTAATGAATCAGCAAACCATTCTTTCCATCGCGTATCCTAGGAATCATTCCTATGAGCATACTCCCGGCAGAGTTAGATCTACTGAATATTTTCTGAATTATAACAATAGCCAATTTGACCTAGTCACTATGTGTCAGACCCTTTGCTAACATTTTCATATGTTAATTCACTTATTATCCACCTCAGTCTATGATGGGATGTCTAGAGCCAAACAGTTCTTTCTCAAGTCCACCTCTTGTCAAATGACTGTCATATGATCTTGGACAAGTTATTAAATTTCTCTCTGTGTCAGTTACCGCATCTGTAAAATAAGAATAATAATGATACCTATTCCATGTATTGAAATCAGGTTGTTATGAGGATTAAAGTAATTAATATATGTAAAGTGCTTAGAAAGAGCATAGCACATAGAATGTGCAACTTAAGTGTAATCATATAAGCCATTGTGACTTCATTATATAATTATAGTAATGTCATATTAGTATATAATATATAATATTATACAATATTGATACAAAGTAGTCTATTATCCAGAATGTTAGCTTGGTGTCTTGAAGATGGAAATACCCTAGTAGGTATTTGCAATATTGCCGCTGAGTGCTTCCAAAAAAAATGTACACCACCTGCTAGAATTAAATCATAAAGTAATGTGGCTTCCTAGGGAGTACAAGCATTCCAAACAAAAACATTAATTTTGTGTACTTCAGTAAGTTCTGGGTAGGTACATCTTGTCTGCAAACATCAAATGCCAAGTATGTAAGGAAGACAGCCTTTTTCTGATGGAATCAATTTGGATTCAGTTGAAACTAGAATACTTTAGCAATGTTCCTCTGTCCACACTTAAGCCATAGAACCCTTTTTCCTTGTAAGCCCATCGGTACTCTATGAAATGCCTGCAGAGATTTGGTTCATAGCTATTTTTGCTTCTACTGAGAAGCTACCTGAAGTGAACATAGTTTAGCAAATTCTACACCCTCTCTTTTTCTTCAAAAGAGGCAGCATTTGTTTAAGGCCTGTAACATTGCTCTAAGAAGCTGGCAAGGACCCCTTTTTTGAATCCCTTTTGGAGACCAATAGATTTTTTTTTTTTTTTTTTTTTTTTTTTTTTTGAGATAGAGTCTGGCTCTGTCGCCCAGGCTGGAGTGGCGCGATCTCGGCTCACTGCAAGCTCCACCTCCCGGGTTCACGCCATTCTCCTGCCTCAGCCTCCCGAGTAGCTGGGATTACAGGCACGTGCCACCACGCCCAGCTGATTTTTTTTGTATTTTTAGTAGAGACAAGGTTTCACCATGTCAGCCAGAATGGTCTCGATCTCCTGACCTCGTGATCTGCCCGCCTCGACCTCCCAAAGTACTGGGATTACAGGCATGAGCCACCGTGCCCGGCCAAGACCGATGGATTTAATGACTGGTCTCAGAGACAGAGGGTGCACATTCGGAACTCTAGGCTGTCGTGGTTAAGCTAGATCATTTAGCAGCATGGTTTTCACAGGAGGTCAAAAGCAGAAGTAGCTATTACTGCCTATGTGAATGAGCAGGAGGGTTAGCTCAGAGGCTTTTGAAACTGGACTTTCCAGGAAGAGAAGCAGGGGAAGGGTATTCCAGGCAAAGGGGAAAATGGAGCAGCTGTGGAGATTTTGAGATTGCATGACATATTGAGGGAACTGTGAAGGAACAAGAGGCAGGAGATGGGACCACAGAGAGCTTGTGGTCAGGTTGTGAAGTCTCAAGTGGCTTGCAAATGACATGTAGGAAAGGATTTTCAAAGGCATTTAGAGCCAAGTGTCATGGAGAATGGATTGGAGCAGGGAAGAGGCTATGTGTGAGAGAGTGGCAGGCACTGTCAGTCTCTCTGCAAAGCCTCAAAGAACCCAGAGGCACGAATAAGGGCACCGGAGTGGTTGGTTGCCTGAAAGGAGTTAACTAGAAAGTTCTATGGATTTTACCAGTCTTAGTGCCTGTGAGAAAATTATTAAAATACAATATTATGTATTTGCAGGTAAGTATTTTGATCTGAAAATTGTCTAAGTTAGTCTGACATTAACCCAAATCAAGAAATACCGAAAGATCTCTTAGAGAAGGGAATACTATAGAAGAATAGGTGTTATTGACAGAATTATCACAGCAAGTGGCAAAATATGGGGATTACAGCAAAGAGGACTATGGCCCCCACCTGCCTTTGCTTCTTTCAATGGGCAAACTCTTTCCACTAGGTCAGATTCATATCGCAGAAATGCAGTAGTGAATCTAGAAGGCTTTAGACCTGTTAAAACTGTTTATGGGTAGAGTTTCAAATGTGTCTTCAGAATGAAACACACAGGTATTCTGAAGCCAGACAACTTACGTTAGACAAATGAAAGTATTTACTCAGAATTCAAGGTAATATCTTTTGGAAAATCTGTCCATAGAACTAAAATTCTGTTTTGAAACTAGCACAATCAGTATTGGAAATTAAATTTTATTTTTTAAATGTAAATTTTAATTTTAAATTTACTTTTAAATTTAAATTTAAATTTACATATATATATACACATATACACACACACACATATATATATATTTATATATTTAGACAAGGTTTCACTCTGTAGCTCAGGGTAGAGTGCAGTGGCACAATCATGGCTCACAGCCTCAACACACCCCCTCCACCTCAGCCTTCCAAGTAACTGGGTCTACAGGTGCCTGCCACCATGCTCAGCTAATTTGTTTTTTTAATTTTCTTCTCTTTTCTTTTCTTTTGTAGAAATGAGGTTTCACTGTGTTGCCTATGCTGTCTTGAACCCCTGGGCTTGTGATCCTCCCACCTCAGCCTCCCAAAGTGCTGGGAGTACAGCCATGAGCTACCATGCTCCCTCAATATGTCATGCAATCTCAGAATCTCCACAGCTGCTCCATTTTCCCCTTTGCCTGGAATACCCTTCCCCTCCTTTTCTTCCTGGAAAGTTCAGTTTCAAAAGCCTCTGGGCTAACCCTCATGCTGACTCACATAGGCAGCAATAGCTACTTCTGCCTTTGAACTCCTGTAAAAACCATGCTGCTAAATGATCTCGCTTAACCACGACAGCCTAGAGTTCTGAATGTGTACCCTCTGTCTCTGAGACAGAGACAAAAAGAGATGTTAACAAAAAGATACTTTATTTTTTCATTTCTTTATTCATTTATTCACTAGCATTATGTGAGCAGCCCCCAGGCATAGTGCAACAGGCCTAATATGGAAGACTGACAAGTAGCCCAATGTTTGAGTAAGAAAATGAAGGCAGTAGCTGTCAACTACGAGGAGACTAATTTTAAATGAAATACAGTAACATTTAGAATTTGCAAAACCAGGGGTCTATTTTAATTACAGCCGCAAAAAGACTGATTAAAAAGCAAATGAGAGGCTGGGCGTGGTGGCTCACGCCTGTAATCCCAGCACTTTGAGAGGCTGAGGTGGGTGGATCACCTGAGGTCAGGAGTTTGAGACCAGCCTGACCAATATGGTGAAACCCTGTCTCTACTAAAAATACAAAAATTAGCTGGGTGTGGTGTCAGGTGCCTGTATTCCCAGCTACTCGGGAGGCTGAGACAGGAGAATTGCTTGAACCCAGGAGGTGGAGGTTGTAGTGAGCCGAGATCGTGCCACTGGACTCCAACCTGTGCAACATCACGAGACTCCATCTCAAAAAAAAAAAAGAACGTAAAGGAGAAGATAGACCCAAATAAGGTATGAAAGGCAGAGACAGATCAACTAATGTCAAGGTTTTCAATTAAAAGAGGTTGAGATAGGAAATCATGAAAACCAATTAGGAAAGAAGATAAATTTTCCTAAGCATCTACCAAGTGCTTAGCAGTCAGCCAGACTTACAAAGCACATTATTTAGTTCTAGTCAGAGGGATCAAACCCTAGAACCATAAAGTATTGACAAAAAAAACCCTGAATATATGTCAACATGAAATATTTTAGTAAACACATTCAATTTTTTATTATATGATAAAACGGACAATATAATCTAATGATTAGCAGCATCAAAGAATGTGAAGAAGGGACACATATATGTGGTCTAGGCTCTCTGCCTTCAGGGAGAAACTGGTACTTGAGGACTTTGTTTTGTGTAGTTTTTAGTTTTTTATCCTTCTGTTCAGATAAATATATGTCCGCCTGTTTGACAAATAATCAAATATGTGTCAAAAATTAGACCTTCGGGGGAAAGAAAAAGATGAGGCATGAGGCACAGCTCCTTTACAAAACCACCTGGCAAGGATTTCAAAGCTTCACATCCTTTTTTTGTAAATTAACAAGTTTGCTATGGCATTGCAACAGAAGGTAGGACTTAGGCAGGAGGGAAGGGATGTCCAAGGCAGATCTTGCAGACACACTACCATGCAAGCTCTATTATTCCTTTTTCTCACCAAGGGAAGAAAATTTTAGCTAAAAGTCATGTCACTCTTATGCATGGAGAAATGGATTCTAAAGCGAAGAAGAACATAGCAGTCCTTTCTTCATACAAGACACGTGGAAGAGGGATGTGTACAAACAGGCTGTGGAGTGTCGGGCTACTGGTGAATCTCAGCTCCACCACTTACAAGCACTGCAACATTGGACAGTTTAATAAACCTCCCTGTGCCCCAGTTTTCTTATCTATAAAACGGTGATAATAATAGTCAGTACATTTTCTGAACTAAATAATAGGGGTAATGGATTGTAAGGATTCTGTGATATAAACTAGTTAAAGCACTTACCAGAATGCCTGGTAAGTAATAAGCACTCAATAAAATTTTTCCAAAAATAGTGAGCAAATGTGGGGGTCAGAGATTAAGCAAAACTGAGGGTAGAAATTGTGATTACTTAAAATAACAATGTGGAGTTATTTTAAAGGCAGGAATCCTTCGGATGATGTGAATAAAGTCACCGAAAAGCAGAAAAGGCCACGGAAGCTTGACCATTACCTTCCAAAGAGAAGCCATCAATTTTTGAAAATTTGGCTTAAAAAATATTCATGGCTTATATATGATGAGCTATTAAATCTTATGTTCTGCGCCCTGTGTCGTAAGCATGGAGTGAAGTCAGGGGGAAGTCAAGTGAATATCTTTTATGGTACTGACAACTTTAGGACTGAATTTCTCAATGCACATCAACTCAGCGAGGCTCATGCCAAGGCTTCATTAATGGAAGCAACAAGTAGCTCTCCAGTGAACAGAGCCACCACCAAACTAATGATGAAGACCATAAGCAAAGTAACCCTCGGGAGAGTAGAGAACTTATTCAGATCATGCCATGCTATTGCCAAGACCGGACGTACCCTCAAAGATTTTATTTGGATGTGCAAATTGGATGATATGAAAGGTGTTGATATTGGCCCAGTATTCAGAACTAAAAAATCAGCAAGAATGTTTACATACTTTATTGCTGAAGTAGAACGAAAAAATCTAAGAGAGAAACTAGAAAAAAGTAAATTTTTTTCTGTCATCAGTGATGGAATCACAGACAGTTTAATCAAAGAAGTCGAACTTGTTTATGTGCAGTTTGCACATGCAGGAAAAGTGCACTGTCAATTTGTTGGGGTACAGACAGTAGAAAGAAATGATCCTCTGGCAATAAAAAATGCCACTGAGAAAACTCTAGAGATAAATCTTCAACTTAGACTGTCGAGCCAAGACTGGGCAAAGAAGCTGATTGGTTTTGGAAGTGATGGTACCCATGGCATAGAGGGAGAGAACAATGAGGTGGCCCTGCTATTAAGAGAAATACAACCATGTGTACAGACTGTATATTGCTTTGCACACCACCTTGAACTATCTTACAAAGTGGTGTTCCAGGACATTCCTCTGTACAATGATGTCAAAGATCTCCTTCACAGCATTTATCACTTTTATCACCTTATTCCTCTTCTTATGAAGAGGAATTCTCCTCTTCATAAGAGTGCTCTGAGAACTGCTTTCAAAGGCCTTCACCTTCGACCTGTGATGCCTTCTCAAATAGGAGACAGGAAGTGGCTTCATGGATTACAGGCAGCCCTCCAGAACTTTCTCAAGGGATATCCTGCAATTGTTCGGCAACTGTACTCAGTAAGTAATTTTGAAATGCCACATTATTTTACTTTTTCAGAATCACAGAAAATACTTTTCTTGAGATCCTTGGAATAATAATTTTGGGAAAGATAACCACCATGTTGTTCCCAATCTGTGTTACAGGCAGGCGAAGGCAAAAGTGACGCCAGTCAAAAGAAATCTAAAGAACTTCTGGAGTCCCTTCTCCAAGCTGACATTGTTAAATTTGCCCACTTCTTGTTGGATGTCATTAATGTCCTTAGCATTCTGTCTGGTGTCAGTAAGAATAGAAATTCCTCAATTGCTGACATATTTGCCACTTTAGAGTCAATGCTGGAAATGCTCCAAATGTATCAAACAAGGTGAGAGGTTGAGATGATCTGAGGTCTGTCAAACTAGGCAGTTTGACTTGTGAAATTATCTGCCATATGTTTCTTCATTTAATTTGTTAGTTGTTATCTGGGTGATTTTTTTCTCCCCAGACTAGGGCCAAAAGAACACATGATGGATTCAGCCACACACTTTCATGGTAACTGCCTCAGAGGGAAAGAAAACATTTCCGCTGTGAGAAACATTGTTTTAACACATCTTATCAAGAGGCTTCAAGGCTGTTTCAGAGATGCCAGCCAAAATGTGGTGAGGGCTACCATGATTGGAAGTTTTAAATTATGGCCCACAAAGATAAATCAAGGTAATCTATATGTGCTGACTTTGAACCTATTATTCTATGATGGTCTGTGTGAGTTTCTTTTATATATGTGACCATTTTTGGTATCTTGATTATAGAATTTGGAGAAAAAGAGGTAACCATCCTGACTGCACATTATGAACCAGTATTAGAAGCTGCCAATGTGAAACTTAGTGAAGTGGATGCTGAATGGAGCATGTTGAAATTAGAGATTTATGCCAGGTAAGCAAGAAAGCAAGCTGAGGAAAGTGGCTGATATTTATAAATGTTTGGGTAAAACTTGGGAGTCTTAACCTTTTCCTTCTTCTCCTCCCTCCTAGATTTCCGAACATTCGAAAATTGACCTGGGATTTTGTGAATTCCATTTACTTACACAAGTATCCAAATATCCTGACACTGGTCGACCTAGTGTTGACCCTTCCTGCAAGTTCAGCTGAAGCAGAACGTGGCTTTAGTCAGATGAAATGGACCAAGTCACACATGCATGCAAAAATCAAGGCTGAAATTATGACGGATGTCCTAATTATTCAGTTGAATTCTCCAGACATTAATAATTTTGACCCTAGGAAAGCTATCCATTTATGGAATACAAGAACACTGTCTTCAACTGGTGACACAAGACCTAATTCAGATTGCTCATCAAACTCAGAAAGCCATTATGAAAGTGATTAGCAGTATGCAAATGTTGACATTGTTGTTGCATATGAATGTAGCTCTTTTGCATAGTAAAAAAATAAAATAAAATAAATATTTTCCAGAAACCTGAAATTTAAAAGTAAAACAGTAACTTGTCTTCACATCAAACAAAAGGCATTTGGCTTCTTCCAAACATACAGAGTAAAAAGCCCAAGACTGTTTCTTCTATAGCTTTCTAACTTCCCTTATGTATTCATGTGTTCTTTCACACTATTTTGGTGGAGCTGTATGCTTCTACACAATGGTGTTATTTTGATGTCGTTTTTTTTGAGAGTTATCCCTAAGGGTGACCAGAATATGATTACGGTCTGAGTTCCCTTAGGCCTGGCATACAATTCATTATTTTTCCTCGATAATTCTAAGTGATAGTTGCATTAGGTAATTAACTTAGAGCCAGACTGAAAGAAAGCTTCTCTTTTCATCTGTGAACAAAATTTGTAAGTTTATGTAATTATTTTATTGCAACTATATCACTACATGCTTTGGCCATGTAAGTAACAAAGGCAAATATTAAAACAGTTTTCACGTTTCATGCTAAATCCTCAGGTAAATAATTCTTATGTAAACTGAAGGTACTGTCTTATTACACTTTGTTTTACACCATATCCATTCGAGATTGCAGAAATGAATTGCAGCTTACAAGATTTTTAAAATACTCTGAGCCTCTTCATGGTTTCAGTAGATTTTATTTACGGCTGTAGCTTGAAGAACATGACTGATTTATGTCTGACTTATCTAAAAACCAACATAGGATCTTATAAACCACAAATCACTGAAAATTCTGCTATCTGGGAAAATGTTCTCGTGTCTATAAAACTGGATGCTTAAGTTTAATGAAAAAGGATACAGAATGTATTTCTGAACAGCCTGCTGAATGGCCAATTATATCAAAGAAGAAAGGTTTCATTCCTGCTACCAAGAAAATTACCTTCCAAATCTCAAAATTGTGTATTTGGTTTGAAGCACTGAGATTTTAGAAGGATTATTGCATTTCCCCGGAGGTTAGAGGAAATGCTAAAGTTCATATGAACTTTCAGAAATGCTAAAAACTTCGATGTAAAAAGAAAATCTTGGGATAGCAAGGCTATGTTTCATTCTTTTTATTCCCAAAACAAAGAATAGCTATGTACTCTGGACCTGAAAGATCCCTGGATACACATTAGGAGTCTCTCCTTGTTCTAGAAGGTACCTCTTTGTGTTGGTTAGCCAGATATTTTGTTTTAAGTAGATTCATTTATTTTGTTTTCTTACTTCTTTCTTAATGCATGTGCATGCAATTTGAAGTGAAAAACAAGGTAGATATCTCTTTTAGATTGAGTTAAGTAGGTTAGTTCATAAGAGCAAATAATTTAAAAGGTTAGTGGTCTTTCATGAAATACTTAGGAATACTGAGCCAATTAGGTGACTAAATTAGCACTTTCAATCCGGTAATTTAACAATTCAAATTTCTCTACATTTACAAAAGCAAATATGGTCTGATCCAAAGGGCAAGATGAGGATAAATGTATTACCTTGATTGTAGTAGTGATCTGCATGCATCTGGAACACTTTTATTTAATATTTGCCAAAATATTTTACTCTTGTGCCCTACTGCATGTAAGAAACCTTAAAATCATATATTTTTTGAAAAATTCAGCCTATTCTGAGTGAAAGGTCAAAGAACACTCTAAACTAAAAAGTTTTATAATTTTACCCAATCTGGATTTAATTATTACTAAGCCAAAAAAGACATTTTGACTTAGTTGAGAAACAATAATGAGACAGCATCAGGAAATTTTTATTTTTATATTTCCAAAATGTCTTCTGTTTCTTTAAAACTTACCATTTTATATAATATGAATAAAGAGATTTTTCAAATACTCATTACTTCTATTTTAGCAAAAGAATATAAAAACCATCACCTAAACCAAGTGACAAAATATTTTTCATTGTATTATAGGCATAATAGGAAATAAAGCATTTACTGACATTCTGATCGATTTGGTGACCCTGAACCTTGGCACAAACAACTTTCCTAGTAGTTGGATGCACCTTACCCAACCTGAAGTAAGCTTCTATGTTGTTTGAGTTTTAAAGCTTTAAGCATTCTTATTTGATCAATGCATCAATAGTTCTAAAATAACGAGTACTTGCATAGGGTCTGACATTTAATATGCAATCAATGAAACGTGAGTGAATGAAAAATGAATGAACTTCCAATTAAAACATATAGTATGCACATGCTCAATATTTGAAAAATAAGTGATGATCTGTCACTGGAATATTATAGAGACCGTGATGTTCAACCAGTGAGTTTCTATCTATAACTACCTTTATAACTTTATAACTTTCTTCTAGTTACAGGAATTAACATCTTTATTAACAGTCAACTCTGAGTTTGTGGACTGGCGCAAGTTCCTGTTAGTAACCTCAATGCCTTGGCCTATTCCCCTGGAGGAGGAGCTCCTTGAGACCCTTCAGAAATTCAAGGCTGTGGATAAGGCGCAGTTGGGCACCATCACTTTCGAGCAGTATATGCAGGTTGTTACCAGCACCTGATGGCATTGATAACACCAGAACACTCGTGACCTAAGAAGTGAATTACTCACTGATGTTACATTGCCAGGTCTCAGGCCAGTGCGTTGCTTCTCAGCTGCCCTTATCTAGGCACCCAGAGGCAGCACAGGCAGTGTCAAAGCCCCAGGCAGAAGCCTGACTTCCATCCCCAGGGAAAAGATCTGAAAAAGTCAGAACTTCCAGGAGAACAAAGGGTTCTGAAAGCAGTTACATAAACTTTTTTGTTCTTCTCCTGAGTTCCTAACCAGTGGTTCTTATCCTTGGCTGTACATTAGAATCATCTGCAAAGCTTTTAATAAGACCAATGTCCAACACTGTAAGCTCCCAGAGTAGAAAGAACAGTGATTTAAACACACACACACACACACACACACACACACACACACACACACAGAAAGGAGCAAGTTTTTTCTCTTTGGGGTGAGAGGGTGATGAATGTTGAGATTATTTCTGAGAAGTTGAGTTTGAAATATCTGTGGGAAATGAAGAGAGAAATGTCCAGTCTAATATGGCCCATACAGAAGGGATCATGAGTCAATACCATATAAATGGTTATTGAATTTATGATTGTATGAGATCACTCAAGGAAAGTGATGGATAACCCAGTAGGGTATGTAATACTTGGTCATTGGACGTGGCAGGTGGGATGTAACTGGTAACTTGTGCTAGAAAAATTGTGGTGGAATAATAATTACAGAAGTTAGATGGCAGAGGGTTGAGGAAATGAATGAGTCTATAGAAAGTGAAAACAAGAAAAATCAACTGATTTTTGAGAAGTTTGACTAAGAAAAGAGTAAAAGCAAAATTTCATAACAGAGAGGGGCCTGATTTACTTACTTGATCTTTATTAATGTCATTATGTTGCTCACCATTTCACATTGCTGGTAGACATGAAAGAGGGAAACTTTCAGAAGGAACTACCTTTGAAACAGAGTAATATTCTCCAGGTGCCTGCATCTCACATGTATTTCACCAATCACATACATTCCTGCTTCCCTTTTCTTCCTTAATGCATGGCCTCCTTTTTTTTGTGTGAGAGCTCTGAGGTTTCCAGGCTCATAGAGTTGAGCCAGAAGGAAAAACACAAACTATAACAAGGCTCTTTCAGGGCTGATCAAGACAGGTGTTCGGTTATTTGAGTTCTGCTACATTTATTTTCCAAGTAGATTTACAATTTGTTGAGGTGGTTTTGTTTGAAAACAAAAGCAGCAGAGCAAAACTTACTTTGTTTCCGTAGCTGTCTTAAGATTTTAACAAGTGCGCACTCATGAAATTATTGACCTTTGCTATTTATTGTATGTGGCAATCAGCATAGGATATCAATTTGAATATTCTTTTGCACAAATATGAGAAGAACAAAGGGTGTTGGCAATTTTCACCAAAGTGCTGAGCTAAAACCAGGAAACTATTTTACCAAAGGTGTGAGTTTCTTAGAGAAAACTGGATGCTGCGTTTAAGAGAAACTCAGCAATACTTCTTTGAACACTGCCTGTGTTTTGGGAATGGTTGTTTTCTGAGTTCTGACCTCTCCCCTTCCGCCCTCAGGTCCCCCTCCTCTGAAACCCCCATTTGGAAAGGCCCACTTGACCAGCCTGCATGCCTTGCACAGATTATCAGCACTTGCCAGCTCACTACCCCTCCCCCACAATGTTGTTTCAGTGGAAAAATCAAAATAACTTGAGGTCAAAATTTTACAAGATTTGTCGAAAACGCCCCATTAGGACGGTAAAATAGTATGCTTGCATTGCGGAAATGAAGTTCTAATTGGTGTCAGTTATAAACTGAGACAGAGGGACGTCATGAACAAGAGGTCACCGAGATCCTGAGTCAGTTATTCAGTTACTTAACAAAGAGTTTTCTAAAACCAGCAATGTATACCAGCACCATGCAAGTCTCCACAAACAGATAGGACATGAACAGTACATAAGGAATGTGAGCTATTTTTAATGGGGGCACAGACTCCTCCAAAATATGACTAATGCAAGATTAATACAGGGTAGCAGCCTCCAAGCCTCATCCAATCATTAAAAATAGTCAGCATTGATGGGGGGCAGTGGCTTACGCCTGTAATCCCAGCACTTTGGGAGGCCGAGGCGGGTGGATCACAAGGTCAGAAGATCGAGACCATCCTGGCTAACACGGTGAAACCCCGTCTCTACTAAAAGTATAAACAATTAGCCGGGCGTGGTGGTGGGTGCCTGTAGTCCCAGCTACTAGAGAGGCTGAGGCAGGAGAATGGTGTGAACCCAGGAGGCGGAGCTTGCAGTGAGCCGAGATCACACCACTGCACTCCAGCCTGGGCGACAGAATGAGACTCCCTCTCAAAAAAAAAAAAGTAGCCAGCACTCCTAATCTATGGGTACTTATTTATAAAGTATATACATATACAACAGCACATAATACATTATGAACATTATCAAAGATGTAAAAATAAAAATTACATAAGAATGAGATAAAAAGAAATGTAAATCGGAGTTCTAGTATTTTCTCCTATACCCCTGTGGTTTCTGCATCCTACTTGGGAGATAACTGCTCTAGAGACAAGATTGGCTCAGTCTCTGAGGCTTTTAGAGGAACATCTCAGCATAACACATACTTTAATAATTTTCGTTGTTTTTTTGTTTTTGTTTTGTTTTGTTTTTATGTAGGCTGGTCTGTGGTTTACAGGAGATGAAGATATAAAAATTCCAGAAAATCCTCTTGAACCTCTGCCATTTAATAGGCAGGAGCGTCTTATAGAGGTAATTACTGAGATCTTCAAAAAAATGTGGCATTAAAGCACTAACCATTTTCTTTGTGTTTTCTTCCACTTGTGTAACTTGCTTTGGACTGCGCACCTGCCCCTCAGTTCCTCTGCTGTCTTTCCAAAGTGCAGACCTTAGTACTCACTGAGGAGTCAGTGTAGAGAAGCTCTGGGGAGGAGGCAGCGGCCAGAATATCACAGCCTTACTGTTAATTCTC